AATGTATTATTTATCTCAATGGTAGAATAAGGCCTAACATGACTAATCCATATTAGTATACAAATCAATTTATTACAGCTCATTTAAAGGCACACTACTACTATTATCTTGGATATTTGCCAATTCTGAGAACACTGCATTTAACAATGAAGTGACCCAAGGTACAGCTGTGAATGTTTTTTCTTTTTTAAAGCTGCTGGGAGGTAGTGGGTGGCCAACTATCTTCCAGTTTTGCCCCACCCACCCCTAAGTGGCTACTAAATAGTTCTTACACCCATGATGGCCACTTTTTAAAAAACTGAAGTACAGGTAACTTACAGTGTTGTCCATGATGGTCATTTATGCTGTCCCCTTTGCCTGGAATTCTCGGCCTTGGTCACCCTGCCCACATTTCACCTAGCCCACCTTTCAGCTTTTAAAATTCAACTCAAGTAGCAGCTTTATTCATAATAGTCAAAGTGGAAACAACCCAGATGTCCATTAGCTATTGAACAAATAAACTGTTGATACACACAGTAGGGATAAGTCTCAAAAACAGGCTGAGTGAAAGAAACCTGGCACAAAAGGATATTGTATGATTCCATTCATATCTAGTTCTAGAACAGCCAAATTTTATCTATGGTGGAAAGATAAACGAGAGTTGTTGCAGAGGGGGTGAAAGCAGAGATTGGTAAGGAGTACAAACGAACTTTCTGGATTGATGGTAATGTTCAATATCTTTGATAGGGGTTTGGGTTAAACAGCTGTAAGCATTTGTTACAACTCAGCAAATATATACTTACAGTTTGTGTATTTCATCATATATGAGTTTTATACCAAAAGGAAAACATGGTAAATATTAAACTCCTAATGATAAATGCTGGAATATTTAGGGGATAGTGTACCCATGTTTGCAATTTACTTTTAAATTACATGAAAAAGACATATTGATAGACAGATATATGGTAAAGCAAGAATGTAAATTGTGTTCACTGTAAAATTCAGCGTTGCTGCGTGAAATTTTTCATAGTAAAACGCTGAGGGAAAAACTCAAGTGTTAGCCTTATAGGAAGCCTCCCAGAGCACACCCACGGTAAGTGCCCCTCCTCTGGGCTCCCATAACACCCAGTAAAAACATTGAACTTACCCCATTTTATTAGTTCTGCATCTGCACCCCAACGCCCAGCAGAACTGTAATTAACTTGAAAACAAAGTCTGTCTTCTTGGTCTCAGCAGCTAGCACAAGGCCAGGCACACAGTAGACAGTAAGATTTGTTGACCTGAAGTGATGCTTAGTGAACTCATCTCCTAGTTTCCTTATAATCAAAGACCTTGGCTCATTTTCTTTTGCTGAATCATTACAACTCCCAGAATAATCTATCTGACCTGGAATTAAGCCATGTGAATCCTTACAAGTTCCCTTTTTGGCAAGATTTTGAAGACATCGCTTCTGGTTGATCCTACTCGAGTCTCTTCCCCAGTCTCTCAACTTTAAAAACTATTAACTAGTAACTATCAATGTGCTCAGGGCTCAGATTTAATTTATACTCTTTACAGAAGCCAGCTGGGTAGCACATTAAGGACTATGTTGATTCATACTACTCAATTCTATAGCCACCTGGACTCCTTAAAGATGCTCCATTTCCTCACCATGGCACAATGAATATGTGCCATTTTATCTTTATGCAATTATCTATGTAATCCTTATGTATCAAATAGTTTCAATACTGCCAGAACTTAATGCAGCCAGACTGTCTGGGCTTGAGTGCCAACCGCATCACCTACTAGCCATATAACCTTGCCCAAGGTGTTTTGACTTTTTTGTGCTTCATTTTCCTCACTGCCTCCTGATTAAAAAAAAAAAAAAAAGCGAGGGACAGGGGTGGTGTAGGGGAGGGGGGATGATAATAACATCTTTCACCTGTTGTCATGAGCCTTATTAGTAAGTTACTGCATGTAAGCCAAACAGTGCCCAGCTTTTAGCTGTCATTTATTATGTTCAGTTCCACATCACGAATGGCAGAAGACTGGGCTTATAATATCTACAAAGTAGCCTAAACGACCAGTGTGCCAGTGTTACATTGATATAAATCATTTTTTAAGAGTACAATGCAGGGTGGTGATTATAGTTAATAATACTGTATTGTATATGTGAATGTTGCTAAGAGAGTAGATCTTAAATGTTCTCACCATATACACAAAAAATGGTAATTATATGAGGTGGTAGATGTGTTAACTAATCTTTGTGGTAATAAGTTCACAATATATGCATGTATCAAATATTCATGTTGTACACTTTAAACTTACACAATGTTATATGTTAATTACATTTCAATAAAGCCGGGGGAAAAAAAAGGGTACAATGCAGGGAACTCCTTGGCAGTCCAGTGGTTAGGACTCGGTGCTTTCACTGCCATGGCCTGGGTTCAATCCCTGGCCAGGGAACTAAGACCCCACAAGCTGCGTGGCACAGCCAAAATATTTTTTAAAAATTAAAAAAATTAAAGAGTACAATGCAAATCTTAACACGTTGAAGACTAAGAGTTTTCAATATGAATTCAGTTAGTAAATTCTTTTTCAATTATGGGCTTTCACTCATCTCCAAGCATCAGTCCCTTATCGAAGGGAGGTTTTACACACACACAAACGCTTTCTCTCTCTCACTCTCTAGCTCAGCACACCCTGCTGGTTTCCTTCCTAGCACTTATTACAAGTTTAATTATTTTATTTGATTCTTTCCTTATTTGTTTGCCACACTAGATCTACGAGGGAGGGACCCTGTCTATCTTGTTCACTGCCAGATCTCTAACACATGCCTTAGCACATAGCGGGCACTCAGATGTATCCTGGATGAACAATGCAGATATTTTAAAGAGCGTTTAACTCATACCAGATAAAAATTAAAGTAATAATGGTCACAGGTTTCTATTTTAAAGTAATAACCCAATTAGGGATTTAGTCTCATTTTAAAAAAATTATGATTTATTAAAAATATAAAATGGCAATGTTTTCTATAAATTATTCCCACCCAAACATGTTAAAAGATATAACAGGTACACTTTCTAAACCATTTATAGCCACCCTCCTCCTTCAATTACAAAAGATAAAACATACAACACACTGTAGGTTTATTTTTATTCAAAAAGTTACTGTCTCAAGACATAAATACAAATCAGAAAACAGTACAATTAGGACAATAGAATGTGGAGGACAACAGGTTAGAGTAATATATAAAACATTTTTAGCTGGTTGAAAACAAAGCTGTAAGAACTGCTTTCACAAAGAAGTACTCCTTTCAAGAGTGAGAAAAAAAATCAACTTAGGTTTAAAATCATATATACAGTCCTCTCAGCAGTTCTAGTAAATGCAGTGGTGTGAAAAACAACATAGGCAATACTTTTTTTGCACATAACAATATTTGTTGATGGAAAATCTGTTAGACAAGTCTGATTTCATTTGTTATTAACCATGATTTAATAAAATAATTGTATTTTATCATGATCTTTAGCTAACCTATGGTTTTTGGCTACCACAGCCCAATGCTTGTTGATTTCTGACTCTAAGAACTGGAAGCCTTTTGGTATTCACCCATCTGAAGATATTCTTGTATTGCAAGCATATTAAGGCATGGAATGATTAAAATAATATACCTCAAGAACTGAGAGACGACTGACAAAAGATAGATAAACATGTAATATAAGTTAATATTTTGTTTTAAACGATGTCTAGCTGCCTAAGCCTCGCAAAATGAGTTGATGTCAAAATGGCAAGTAGCCACTTTCTGTTTTAAACTAATTTGTGAAAGGACATAAAATGAAGTTTAAAGCTTAGCTTTCAAAGAATATTATGGGTTATGAATTCTATTATCCCATCTAATTTACATACAGAGGAAATGTACTGTAACCTGTTAGAAGTATCTTTAACCTGAAGACTGCTTGCAAAGACAGATAGATAAAACAATATAAAATACAAATTTAAAAATCATTTTAAAGCATGAACACTCATGCTTTTCTATTTTTAAACATTGTTAAACTTTCAATATATTTCTGAAACCTCATAATTTTAAGTTGGAATTTAAAAGTAAGAAAAAACTAAACAAACTGCGCAATTATAAAATCAGCACCAATTTATATATATATATAATTTTATTTAAAATTTAGATCCCTATTCCCACACTCTAATAAGCTGTATAATTTTTGTTTAGAATTTTTTCTGCAAACATACTACAATAAGCTTCTTTTATTTGGAGACAAAATACAGTGGCACTACTGGAAGGAATATCACAACATTACATTTTTATCTTAAAGGACAAGCAAACTTTCAGGGTTGATAATGGGATAAGCATGTTTGAGACTGGTTACCTTCTGGCAGTTCACTGCATCTGGGTATTTGTGAAAAGTATAGAGAAGCTCTTGGATTTTAAAAATATCTTAAAATACATTTTAGATGAAAAAATTGTAAAAGTTCTGCTTATAAGTTTACTTTTCTCCACAATTACAATATTTTAAAAGAAAGCTTTGTTGATTGATGTTTCAAGCATTTAAATTTAGAATGCTAAAAACAATTCTATCCTATAATTTCAGGGTAGGGGAATAAATTCATCCTTAACTTTGTTTCTTGGATGTAAACAGAAATCCAGCAGAGGTCATCATTACTTAGTACACCCAGTAAATAAATGTGAGAGGATTCATGTCTGTACCAAATGCCTCTTCAGATTGTTATATTTTCTTTAAAAAAAGCATGAAATAATTGATTCAAAAGCCAACTAACAGCGCATAAATAAAATATTTACTTTCTAAGAAAAACTGTAGCTTATCATCAAATTGTTTACTTGTCCTTTACTTTTTTCAGGCAAACAAAACTGCCCCTCAAATGCACTTGATCTTGGTAAGTATAAGCACGTCATATTCTCCTTAGAGAAAAATCTGTACAGAATTTCACTGTATCTACCACACTTTATTTTAAAATTTCCTCTTCCACTTAGAAAATGACTTCACCACAGATTTAATTGTGTACTGGTATTAAAACATTGACACCCCAAGAACCTAATGAGAGAGAGGAAAAAAAATCTTGTTAAAATTGTCATTCATTTCTTTGTAAAATATACTACATTGATACTTGGTAATATTAAGTTTAATAACATGCTAAAAACCACTTTGAAAAATTCCCCTCTCAGATATATAATTCTAAAATTATAATTACCATTAACATATAATGAAATAACATCAGGCCTAATCACAATGCTACTTACCTCACAAATATAACTAAAAGCAAAGATCATGTCTCATTTATATGTTTATACACACCCCTAATGCCTAGATAATGCCCTGAACATAGGCACTCGACATTTGTTGAATGAACAAATGAATGTGCTTCTTGACATACACTTCTGGCACAAGATGTATGGCAAACTCGGTCATTTGCACTGTGAAGTGGGTAGAGTTTTTAAAAAGGCATTTGAACATGCAGACCAAAAACATCCATAAACAATATAAATAAGTAGAAAATAGGAAGCTTTCTGGGTGAATGAACAGGACTACAAATTTTAAGAAATCAAATTAAGTAAGGTAAAATCTGAGCAAACAAAGTTATATTGATGCTTTTCATTACATTTCAGTTGGGAAAAGAATGTTAAGTAAAATCTAATAATTACTTGTCACTAACTTAAAAAAGTAAAAGCAGGTAATAAATGGAGCAACTCCCTCTCGTTCATTAAATAAGAATAAGATATAACCTTCAGTTGTATATACTAAAAGTTAGGCTCTTCAATTAAAATTCCAGCACTTACTATGACAATTAAGTAATATTTAAAAATACTATAATAAACTAGTAAAAAACTGATATTAAAGTCAGAGGTAATGAGCTAAGACTGAGATTACAAAGGGCACTTACTTGTAAATTATTAAACCTCGCTTTAACAAAGGTCATAGAACTCACAAATTGTTTTGATCTGAATTGAAGGAATTGTGTATTTTCAGACCAGAAAACAAATATCTATCTCATTGCAGGCTCATTGTAGTAAATTATCAAGTAAAGTGTTTGGAATCCCCAGTAATGAAAGCAATAGAGACTTAATGTACCCCATTTCTTACCTGTCATCCACCAAAACCACCACCACTACTCACCCCTTGCCCGCCCCCACCCAAGTTTCAGAGTTCTCCTTTTTTGGTTAAAGTCAGAGTTTGGGTGATTAGAATGTTTCCACCAAAGAGGCCTAGGTGATACGTGATGTTTAAAGATCCCTTCTAGCCATAACACTCTGTGACTCTGGGTAAAGGAAGATCTAATGGTGAATGAAAGGATAAAATCTTAATTAGCAATTTTAGTGTAGAGTGTGGCATGAAGATGAATTCAAGTTCTTTCCAAACCAAGTGCCTACCTAGAAATGGCCTGAACAGGTTTTTTTTCTTTTCTCCTGTGTTTGTACAGTCTAGGTTATAAGTAGATTCTTCTATTAGAACAGTTAAATTAGCTCAATTATACCAAACCCTTCTTTTACCAATTTTATACTACAGATAATTCTAAGAGTCTCAACACAGAAGAATGATATTAGTGATACTTATTCTCTTTCTGTGCTAACATAAGCTACACCTGTTTCTGGTGTTAGCATTAATAACCACTTAAGCATATACTTTAAAAGTACCAATAGCAAACTTTGGTGTGTTGAGACAATACTGGCCCACTAGTAGCAGAAAGCAACCACTGGCACAATGGGATAAACCAATGTTGACACTGTTTCCAAATATGAAACTAAATAAATCATAAATCTAGAATGTTGTATATATGCAACCCAAAACTGATCTGCTCAGAGTTCTCCTATTACCACTTCTGAATTACATGGATAACATGTTACGAAAAACACGTTTAGGATTTATTTAGTATCTACACTAGGATGCTAGTATCTATAGTAGGATGCTTTGGGTTACTTCACTTAAAATTAGAGAATCTTAGAACTGAGTATAAAAGAATTTAAAGTCCCAATTTTACTATTGTTTTGATGACTCATTTATCACAGGCTTGAGTAAAAACAGATGTAAGCTATTGCAGAAAAGCTAATGCAGATTTTTACATTTAAAAATTTCTATTATTCCACTTCTTAAGTTATTGTTGAGATAATGAGGTAAAGTTTAATGTATATTTTAAAACAAACTAGTATTAACTTAAATATATATACATGGTCAAAGATGTCTAAAGATACCTGCACTTTTAAAGATATTGAGCACTCAGTTATGTGACTGCTGCCATCATGTGGTAATACTATAAAACTACAGGTACAGACGCATGTGCTCATTTCCCCAATTTTAGAAGCAGCAGAACTATCCTCTTAGTTATAACATATTCAATAAACACAAGAATGCCAAAATTTTTCTATAAATAACAAATAATTATTAGGTCCCTATCTTTGGCCTCACTCAGATTATAGTTTTCCCTAAATGTTAAGTGTCAAAAATATACACACATTTACATTGCTGTTCAACTACTGTAGTAACCTGAAGTGAAGAGCACCTTTTTGCAAATCTAGTAAGAGACTAAGGAAACAAATGCCTACAGTTTTCCTGACTTTAGATGAACACATGAAAAAATAAGGAGATCTTTGCCCACATCAATTTTGACTACAGTTAATCATTCCAATTTCTAAAATATTTTTCTTGGTATTTCTTCCACCATAGAGGCAGCATGAGATTTTTAAATCAAAAGGAACTCAGGTCAAATTACTACTCTGACACTCAAGTTGTATAACTCTGAGCAAGTCACTGAACCACCTCTTCAGTCCAAGTTTGCTTGAGTGTAAAAGTGGGATCCCACCACCTTTCTTACAAGGTTGCTGATTAGATCAAACTAAATCGTGCCTAGCATAGTGTCAGGCACATAAGTTTTCAAAATACTAGCTTCCATCCCTTTTCACCTCAAAGTGATAGTACAGTTGGACTAGAATACAAACCCCTTGAAAGCAGGGGGAGCATCTTATTCATTTTAGTACCAATTTCCAACTTGATAAACTGCAGAATTAATGCATTTCATTATATCTGCTTGAAAAGATTCTCTTTTATTCCTCATCACAATCACTACCTAAATGTTTTATTTAACGAACTGGAAGATACATACTCCTAGATTATCAGGGAAACCACATACTTCAATAGGCAGTTAAACTACAGACTTAAGGGTAGGCCTAGGTCACCTATGTTACTCAAATTACGGTCTTGTTAGAGATGCAGAATGTAAGGCCACACTTCGGACCTACTAAAGCAGAACCTACATTTTAATAAGATCTCCAGATGATTCATATGCACCTTAGAGATTGAGAAACACTGGTTTAAAGGATCCCAAGGCTTGTCCAAAGATTTCTATACCCGCTGATCTATGAAATATTTGTCTTTTAGCTCAAATAGCTGGCCTTATTAATATAAACATGTTAGCATGAGTTAGTCAAAATTCTTCCAAGAGCTATCTGAAAGCAGACTATGAGGCAAGAAGAGGGCAAGGAGAGAATGGCAGAGATAGGGGCACAGAAGGCAGGCCTCAGAGGATGATACAACAGTCACCTGGGGCAGGAGGTGTTAGAAAGAAGGAGCATAAATGGGTAGACACCTAAAAGTGAGATAGAAGGGCACTTAACCGATTTATTAATTTGACAAATAAAACTAAATACCTACTAAACTAGGCAAAACTCAAAATGAATAAAATCATCACTGCCTGGAGTTCAGTCTATTGAGTGAAATGTAATATCTTATTTCACTACACCAATCTGGTGGTTATCAAAATAGAATTATATACAAAGTGTTATGGGAACTGAGAATAAAGTATCTATCTAAAAAGGTTAGGAAAAACTCCGCAGGTAATGTCCAAACTGACTACTGAAGAAAGAATTCAATACGAGGAAAAGGAAAGGGGCAATTCTGACAGAAAGAAAAGCTTTTACAAGGTCATGGAGTCATGAAAGAGCATGGTGTGTCTGAGAGAAACTATAAGATTTGAACCAAGGCATTCTCAGGGAGAACATGGTAACAGGGACTGATAGAAGAAACAGAACTGACAATACCTAACAATAACCAATTATCTCAATCCCCTTATCTTTATTACCAAAGCCTCTGTTCAAGTTCTATTTTTCACCATGCCTTCATATTATGATTATGACTATTATGATTATTTTTCTTCTCTTTCATCCTATCCAAGGACATCTTTCTGAAACACAATTCTGATCATGCCGCTCCCTCATTCAAAATCCTTCAATATGTAACTCAAGCCTACAGGAAAAGTCCAAATTCCTTAACATATCATGTCCCAGTTGGCCAGGGATTCAAAGGCACTTTGAATCTGTTACCACCACTGCATAACCCCTCCCCAACCTTACCCCGAAATCCCTCCTGCCTGCCTCTTTTCCTCCTGTCCAGTTGTTTTTATCCATTCTCAATGTATTGTCCCAGCTCTTCAACCTCAGACTTAGGGACTGCCTATTACTTTTGATTTTATAATCTTGAGGCATATTTAAATTAAACCTACTGATTCATCCATAATTGAAGCTGGATCAAAGAAATCAGGCTTCAGTTCTGTTCTCTCTCGTCTGTTCTTTGATGGTGGCTAAGGGAGAAAAAAGGAAGTTAGTTGACAATTGTCATATCTATAATAAGCCAAATAGTAACTGAAAATATTGAAATTATCATTAAGTGTTCACATGGTCCATGTAATTGCAATTGTACCCTACAATATTTCAAATGCTATATATTCAAACTACAGACTGTTTAAACATGCAAAACCAATTCATTCGTGGAAAATTATTCTTAAAGATGAAAACTGGAAAACCAATTTTTTGTTTTACTTTAAAAATGTCTCTCTCAACTTTCCTTTCAAGATACCAAATTACGCTATTCTGAAGAGAAGCCATATTTAATTATTTCTTCCCTTTAAGGAGAATACACCAAGGTATACTGAGAAATAGAATCAGAAGACCTGGCTTATAATGAATCTCAGCTTTACTGCTTACTAGTTTTGTCTCCTTGGATAGGCTGTCTAAGCTTCAATATCCTCAAGCCTTTCAACCTACCTCACAAAGCTGAATGAGCTGTGTGGCAAAATGAAATATGTACAAGCATTTTGTATACAATAAAGCCCTAATTGTATATATGATGTAATTATCAAAGAATATACCCTCATATATATTAAACTTCCAAGTTTAAGTATTTTACTTTATTATCTGATTCGGCAGTTGATCTCAATAACAGGGTAAATTATGTTAACAATGTATTATTTTGATAATGGTAAAAAGATGGCAAACTATAAGGTGATATTATACTTAGTATACTATTAAGCAAAATAAATCCTTTAAATCTATATATTCCTAAACTAATCTGAAAGTTCATCATCTTAAATTAGGACCTAACACCCCCACCAAACCTCACCCACTTCCTCAACCCCTTCTCATGTATCTAAACCCCTGGCAACTATCTTATTTAAGAATTTTGCAAAACTTACTTCTCATATCAAGTATTTCTCTCCTCTAGTAAATATCCAACTTAATTTCCAAAAAATCTAAATAGAAAATCCTACAGAACCATTGTATCTTACCAAGTCTATATCCATGGTGTCGAAATCCATCCCCTCATTAAGATCTTCAATCCTCCCTTCTGAGGACATCATAACATCTTCAACAATTGGCTCTTCATCATCTTCCATTAGGCTTGTACCACGCCGACTAGAGAAATACAAAACAAGGTCAAGATCTGAACCAAAGTTGTGACTATTAATATATTGGCAGCAACTATGTGGCTCTGTCTATTCAAGTGTAATGGAAAATGATGGAATTAAAGGTCAGGGAAAATGATTGATTAAGCATTGATCATGTCATCAATGATGTCAAAACCCCAATGTCTAAAAATGCTAAGGAGTTATGTTTATTCGGTATTACTTCAATACATTTAGCTTGATAGTTCTGATATCCCATTTAGAAGTTCAATAAGAATTTCCCACATGGGAACAGACAAGATACCTCAAATCCTTTTTGAAAGTAGGCAGGGTATAAATTAATAAACAAGTATAAAACAGAGACCAAAGAAATGACATTTTCAGAATACATGTATTTTCATGAACATATAATGTTAATTTTACCCATCACTCACTCAGTACCTAAAATGTACCAGGCACTCACTCACTCATTCATTCACACAGTGCCTACTATGTGACAGGCTTCTACTGTGTCCTACGGATGCAAAATAAAAGATGAATAAGACATGGTTCCTGCCCTCAAGGAGCTCACAGTCTACTCTGGGAAACAGAGATAATTAATTATGACAAGGTGTGATAAATATTTCAAGAGAAATATGCCTTTAGTGCTATAAAGATATATTGAAAGAAGAGATTAATTCTCCTTCAGGAAGAAATGAGCAACATTTATGCTGAAACCTGCATTCTGTATCCTATAAAACTCAAAACTGAGACATATATAGAAAAGTAAAATAAAAATTAAGAACAAAAATTCTGTTATCACATTATTATAAGGAAAAAACTCAAATTTCAAGTTCACGAATTAGCCCAGATCAGCATAAAAGAGTCAACATAATAGTGAAATTGAGGGTGACTTCTTATTCCCCAGTTTGGCTAACATTTCCTTCTTTTCTCACTCATTTAAAGATTCCACCTCAAAAATCAATTATTTATTGAATGCTTGCTTACAATTTACACAATACCATGTTGAGTCTTAAAAGATAAAGACAGAAAGACGTGATGTCTAGTCCAGACTACCTGGACAAATATGCTGACAATGGTCCCTATTTCCCAAGAGTTCTGGATAGTAAACGACAATTTTACTATATTTGGTGGAGGCAACTGTGAAGGGGATATGTGTGCTCTGGGGACCATATATTATAGAAAAACAGAAATTCATTCTGCACTTCATTTGAAGTATAAGAAAGATATATGTGATACAAACTATGAGAGAGAGAGAGAGAGAGAGAGAGAGAGAGAGAGAGAGAGAATTTGGAAGTATTTTCAGTTATAGGGCAGATACCATTACAGAACAAGTGTTGTAAAACAAAAATATTTTAAAGTCTCAAGCAATAGAACACTTACGGTACAACACCCAAAAGGATCTTCTGGTAATAATTATTTAACTGGGATAATTTCTTAGTCACCTGAGGAAGTTTATCTCTAAGAAGAATTAAAACTAACTACAAACATTGTATCTATATGAGACGATGGATGTTCACTAAACTTGTAGTAATCATTTCAGGATGTATGTAAGTCACATCATTAAGCTGAACATCTTAAACTTATACAGTGCTGTATGTCAATTTTATCTCTATAAAACTTGAAGAAAAAAACTTAATCAATCAATCTACAAACAAAAGAATAATGATAAATGGTACTGAGTAATGAGATGCTGTGGAAGATCTTGGGCACCGGTGGAAAAGTTTTCAGGGGAGACATTAAGGACCAAATGATTGCATAGCAGAATTCTTAAGTGTTTGGACTGGTGACTGGTCAGAAGCTAAGAAATCACTTGTTGAATTCAGCGTGAAATAAGAACACATATTAAAGGGAATGTGGCTATAGAAACAGAATAGGGGACAGAATCAAGGGATAGTATAGAGAATGAACATATTAGACATACTCGGATCAGAATCTATAGATGTGATAAAGTATACCTTGTCTGTAGAGGTTCTTAACACCACTACAGATAACTAAAGTGAATTTAAGAAGACTACCACTCATGTGGTAAATGATCATTTCTTAAGAAATATAGGTAAAATTCTCATCATTCAAAAACCAATAAAATGAAACAAAATATAAATTTTAAAAAGGTAACAATTATTATCTCCCAGCATTAAAACATATACCACATTATGTTACAAATACAAACTAAAAAACTTAATCAGAATCATCAGATCTTCCCCCTTTGTATTAGTCATCTAAAGACTACTTATATGCCATTTCTTTTGGAGCCAAAGCTAATAAAGATTTATAAAACTCTCATACAGATTCCAGTAAAAACAAAGTATTTGAAAATTAAGCTACAATTTTTTTTAGCATTGGACATTTATTCATTAATGAACATTTACTTAGTACTTTTTTTTAACTTAGTACTTTTTAATGTGCTGAGCACTAACAGGAAACGAAAGTAGTCCCTATTAAATGGTACAACCTATTACGTATAAAATAAGCTACAAGGATATATTGTACAACACAGGGAAATGCCAATATTTTATAATAACTATAAATGGAGTATAACCTTAAAACCTGTGAATCACTAAATTGTACACCTGTAACTTATATAATATTGTACATCAAGTATACTTCAATTAAAGAGAAAGAAAGAAAGAAGTTCCTGCCCTTAAGGAGCTCACAGTCTAGAGAAAGGGACAAATTCATAAACAAATTACAATACAATGTGTAAGTGCTATAAGAAATAGGAGTATACACAGTGTTGTGGGAGTGTAGATGACACCACAGCTTCACATAAGGTGACACCTGAGCTTGTTCTTTTATGATGATTTTACCAGTTGCCAGGGAGTAGGATATGATACTAAAATGTAGGCAGGGGCCATATTTAGAAAGATCTTGCATGCCATGAGCTAAGGAGTTTGAACTGCATCTTGCAGGCAATGGGGATCCATGGAAAGGTTTTAAGGAAAAGAGTTACATTATCAGATTTTTATTCTAGAACAGCAATTCTTGATGGCAGTGTGAATGATGGAGTGGTGGTGAGGGGAGTGAGGGAAGGGGTTGGTGAGAGGATAAATGGGAGATTTGAGGGAAGAAAACGAGTTAGAAAGCTAATATAATAGTTCAGGTGAGAGATGAGGGCCTGAACTAAGGTAGGGATCAATTAAGATGTAACAAAACTGAATTTTTAGCTATAGTTCTGTGTACCAAAATAAACAAGGATTCATATTTAAACTTTTCCAACAGATCAACCTATGATCAGTCCTTTAGCTAACTAGTTAATATTTAAGTTTTTATTTTCTGTTGGAAAGACCAATTTTTAGTTCCTTGATTATTTCAGCTTAGTTACTCTAGAGAGTTTGCTGAAATCTTTAGATAAGGCACACATTAAAATATGTTAAAATGAATTAGTGAACTTCCTGTACTCAGACAATAAGGCACTCTCACTTACATGGCATGCTGAAGATTAGTTCGCAGTTTAACATAGCTCATTGCTGCTCTCTCCTGCTGTTGCCTTGCTTCCTCTTGTTGTCTTTGAGCTAACATCCATGTTACCTGCGTGCTTCAAGGAGAATTTTATTCTTCTTTTAACTTAACTTTTTTCTATGTAATTAATAAAGTTATAGTACAGAAAATCATCAAATGTACTTACTTATAATCAAGAGGAGTTTGATGATGTTCAGTCTGCATTGGATAGACACTCATGAAACTGTCCTCAGGTCGTAATCTTTTAGGCTCTCTCATAATTGTTGAGGTGAGTTGTGGTGTCTGCATCATAACTGGGGTGTGCAGTGTTTGTTCTCTGCTTAGCCACATACTGTCACTACTACTGCTTTCTTCAGCTGAGAAAGAAAATTAACAGCAATGAAGTTCAGTCACTAATTTTGATTAACCAAGTGTCTGATACAATGGGTTCAGGTCAAAAAACATCTGTTTGCTCTCCACATGCTAGAGCTTGGAACAGAAGGATACAAAGCTATGTAAGGTGCAGTCCCTGCCATGCCCTTACAGCCTAGTTGTGGAAAAAGAAAACACAGGCAATTATAACACAGCGTGGTAAGTGCTAAAAGAGAGGGAAGCACAGGTAGAATGAGAACAATGAGAGGGATCAGAGCCAGCTACTCAGAAGTTACTTCTGACTAGAGTAGATACTGTGTGGACTGTGAAGTCTCCTAGGCAGGGGCGAGGACATAAGCAAAAGCACCGAGGCATGAAACAACAATGACTGAACCGTACTAATTTACTGATATTCAGCAATTTTTGACCTGCAAAAATAGTAATTTCATATGGTTCAAACTAAGAGTTTAGTACTCCCGGAGTAGATGGCAAAAGGTAAGGCTGAATAAAGAGGCAGGTATCAATTTATGCAAAGTCTTATAAGCTGTGCTAAGGTGACAGGGAAGCAATGTGGTGAGTTACATGTTTTAGACAAAGTATGTAGTGGTAGTGTGGAGGGTGGACTTAAGAATATGAAGACTAGTAAGCAAACAGGCCACTTAGGAGGTTAACTGTGTAGACCAGGTGAGTTATAGGTTCAGAACGCTTTAAAATTTATAGTGGCAGGCAGGGAATACATCTTTTAATTTGATAACTTTTCTATTTTAAAAAAGGAAATTTTATCTTAACTTGCTATCAAGCCCTAACTATTTTAACTGGTCAGGGACACTGTAAGAGAGATTTCTCCACAGACTGGGATGTTAGGACTATATGACCAATCAAGTCCAAATCTAAGTTACAAGTTTAAGTTATAAGTTACGAGTTTATGCATTTATATTATTGGATAAAAAGTACTAAAACCATTAATCCATGTGGCAATTTAATGATATGGCCCCTAAAAAAATAAATAAAATTAAAATATGGCCCTCAAATCTTTGACACGCCTCACATTAACAGGTGGGGGATGACGTCCCATTCCTTTGAACCTGTGCCCTGTGATTGCTTGGTCCATAGAATATGATGGAAATTATGCTATGCCAATTCCTGGCCTTAAGAAAAATGGCAGCTTCCAGAGTTCTTGTCTCTTGAGACACTTGTTATTGGAGCCCAGTCACATGCTGTGAGAAAGCCAAATAGCCACATGGAAAGGACATGTGTAAGGTGGTCCTGGCAGACAATCCCACTGAGGTCCCAGCTGACAGCCAGTATCAGATACATCTGTAAGTGAAGATGCCTCCGTATGATTCTAGTCACCAGCCTTTGAGTATTCCTAGCAGAGGCACCAGACATCATGTCCCTGCTATGTCGTAAGTTTTGGGGGTAGTTTGTTACTCAGGAATAATAGCTGGAGCAAATTTTGGCAACTATGCTAATTTGTTTAAAGTTTCCTAAGGAGAGGAACAAAGTCCCCAGACCCATTTTGAACCAACCCTGGAGTACTAAGAGTCCAAGAGATTCAAGTGTCATAATGTATACTCTTAACCCTAAGATTATAGACAGCAACTTGTATTTCTATCAAGTTCTTTATGATTAATGCTCTTCTTCACAGAAATTCAAAAGTTGGGACCTCTCTGAATCTGTTGTACCACTTAAACTAGATGATTTGATCTCTTAGGTAATGATTAGCTCTAAAATATTGAGTCCATATCCCTATACATAGAGTATAGTGCAGTGATTTAAAAGCAGGTGCTCTAGAGTGAGACTGCCTGGCTCTGCTACTTAATATTGGTGTGACCTTAGGTAAAAGTTACTTAACTTCTCTGTACCAGCTTTCACATTTGAAAAATGAGTATGTAGCTAAAGAGTTGTAAGAACTGAATTTATGTATGTAAAATGCTTAGAACAGTACATTTACACATAATTGGAGGACACATTGTTCAAGATATTATATAACAACACATATCTCAAATTTAAAAATAAGGTGACCCTTAATGACAATTCAGTCATTAAGGTTTACGGTAAACATAAAGGACAAATATAAAGAGAATAAACTATATTCTTACTGAGTGCAAGCTGCATGCCTTCAACCACTTTCCGTTTTCCTGTAGATGGCTTTGATTTTTTACTCCGCACGGTTGACCCCCGACTGCTGATTCCACTAATGACTGACATGGTGTCATCATCACCACCAGCTAGCAAAGAATTTCGGTATGACATCAGTGGAAGCCACACATCTTCTCTTCGGAGTGACATCTGAAAGGTCATGAACTTTTCCAAGTAAACATACCTTAAAAAGGAGTAGAAACCATTAGCTGTGATACATTAAATTGACATAGCTTTTTTTTTTTTTTTTTTGCTTATTCCTATAGGCTCACACACTATAACGGAACATACAGTGATTTAATGAGTTAAATAAAAAGTAAATTAGAATGAAAATAGTGGCTGATGGGTCTACATTTCCTCAAAGCATACAGTAACAACGGAAGGATTATTAGCGTTCTTTCTCGAGAAGTCTCTGTTCTATCCTAACATTTACAAGTCCTCTGTTAGAAGAACAAACCTGAGTCATATTCCTGGAAAGAGGATCAGATTTAAAAATTACACAACTTGGGTTCTAGTCCCAGTTCTACCAACCCCTAGCTGTGTGAGCATAGGCATATTACTTCACTACTCAATCTAAGCCTCATCAGTACACTAATGAACGATTTTGTCTCTATCAAGATTCTCACATTAAATGAAATAATTCATAGCATTTCAGCTTATTATTTGTTGAGCATCTATGTCCCAGGCAATGGGGATAGATACAAAGGTCAATCAGATATGGTCCCTACCTGCACAATATTTTCAGCCTGATGGAAGTCATACATCTACCCTTAGATTCAAGTATCACAAGGATTCTATGACATATATAATATAGCAATCAAAAATCAACTAACATTTGTGTGACTACTGTGTGCTAGGCATTTTCCTCTTGGGTTCTTTAACTTTACTCTTACAGTCTTGTGAGGGAGACATTCTCCCCATTTGACAGATAAGGAGAGAAAGGATAAGAAAAGTTAAGTAATATATCCATGGTCATAAAAATGAGAAAGCAGTATAACCATGATTCAAATCCCAGGCTTTTGACACTAAGAGTTCAGTGCTTTATTGTGTAAATTATGCTTCACACAAGTTTCATCAACTAACTGTAAAGTGCAAACCAAATTTTGCTGTCATAATAATGGCTAATTCGAATCCGTTCAGAATTACCAGTTTTGAACACCATAAGAGAAAGGACAGGAGAGATGAGTTACAAACATACTGCTTAGTGTTACTTGTATATATTGTAAATATATTTCAGCTACACACAGTAGTACAGTACTCATCAAAGTGTGGTCTGGAAGTTGGCTATTAGTCTGAGAACTCACCAGCCTGACACAAGATGTGCAGTCTGAGCCACAATATACTCACTAGTTGAGAGATATACAATGATGTATCCACCACAAAGCTTAACAGAACATTCCAGATAAGTAGCCCTCCCTGATGCTAGTTCCCTTTGTCCTCTTTCCAGCCACAGAGGTTGCCATTAACCTGAACTTGCTATTTTTTGTCCCCATTTGTAATGTTTTAATACCTATTTGTCTGTAAACATCATAGCACAATTTTGTACTTAGCTTTTTGCACTCAACATTATAATTTTAAAATCTAACCATTTTGGAAGAGTGATGTCAGCTAACACTATGGTGGCAATCATTTTCCAATAATGTAAGTGTATCAAATCAACATGTTGTACACCTCAAACTTACACAGTATTATATGTCAACTATATCTCAATGAAGTCAGGAAAAAAAATTTTTTTTAGATGACTGAGATCTGAGGGTCTAATGTATAACATGGTGGCTAGAGTTGATGATACTGTGTACTTAAATAATACCATATAATTGAAATTTGCTAAAAGAGTAGAGCTTAAGTGTTCTGATCAAAAAAATGGTAAATATGTGAGCTGATAAATACGTTAATTAACTTGATTATGGGAATCCTTCCACAATGTATATGAAATCATCATGTTGCACACTTTAAATATATTACAATTTTATGTGTCAATTATAGCTCAATAAACTTGAAAAAAATTTTTAAGATTTTAAAAGATCAATTGGATTGTGTGAATCTTATTTCAATCCCAATTCAATCAAATAAAAGTCATTGATGATATCTGATACTAGAAATTTGAACAATTAAATGGGTTTTTAATAAAATTAAGGAATTGTGTTTACTTTTTAAAAATCTAACCATTTTGACCACTGTATAGTATTCCATTGTATATTAATCTATTGATACCATTTTCTAGCTGATAGATGTTTAGTCAGTTTTGAGTTTTTTCCTATTCAAACAATGCAGCAGTCAAGTACTTTAATAGTTATCCTTCTTCACACGTGTAAGAGTTCCCCTAGGGTATCTACCTATGAATAGAATTACTGGATCATGAAGTAGGGAGAATCTTAAACTTTACTAGACATTGCCAAATGTCTCCAAAGTGGTCTTGTACCAATTTACTCTGCCACCAGCAATGTATAAAAGCCTCTATTGCTCCACATCCTTGGCAATACTTGGCGCTATCCGATGTCTTAAGTTTTGCTAATATGCTAAGTGAGAAATGGTTTTTTTATTGTTTTAATTTTTACTTCTCTAGTTAATAGTGTCAATGCAATTTTGGGGGGTGCGGGGGGGTGCACCACACAGCTTGTGGAACCTTAGTCCCCAGACCAGGGATTGAACCCAGACCCTTGGCACTGAAAGCGCGGCATCCTAACCACTGGACCACCAGGTAATTCCTCAATGCAATTTTGAACTGGCATAAATTTATATATAATAAAATGCACAGAAATTAACAGTAAAGTTGGATCAGTTTTGCAAATGAATGCAGCCATGTAACCCATACACCTATCAAGATATAGGACATTCCTATGACCCTACAGAGTACCCTGTATCCCTTTTCCCATTCAGTCTCCCCAACCCCAAGAACTAACCACTATTGTGATTTCTATCACTGTTTTGTCTGCTTTAGAATTTCATATAATATCTATACAATGATGTTTTTTAAAGACTTTTTTGATGTGGACCATTTTTAAAGTCTTTATGGAATTTGTTACAATACTGCTTCTTTCTTATGTTTTGGTTTTTTGGCCGCGAGGCATGTGGGATCTTAGCTCCCTGACCAAGGACTGAACCTGCACCCCCAGCAGTGGAAGGTGAAGTCTTAACCACTGGACCACCAGGGAAGTCCCCAAGATCTATACAATCTTTAAAAGCAAAATACTGGTGGGCTTTCAGAAGACATTACCTATGAGTTATTCATATTCTTCTGTCTTTTTATACCTCAAAGCCCGGGGTTGGGGGGTGGGGGTGGAAGAGATGAAAGAAGATTTTGAGACTTTATTTCCATTTGTTAGGCTCTCTTAGAACGTAAGTCACCATTTTAGAAGACCAAACCATAAAAGTATCCTGTTTAAATGGCCTGTTGAGAACAGGACTTGTAGTTAAAGTACAAAGATAAAAGAGGGGGACTTCTACTTTCCAGTGTAGTCACGGCTCAGGACACAGACTAAGGTGCTCCTGATGGATCAGCGATATCATTATCTGTTAAATGCTCCTTCATTAGTTAGGCTGAGCCAAGAACTCAAATAGGAATACACAAAGCATTCCAGTTACACCTCTAAAGCCACAACTACACTGTAAGGGGAACTCACAGAATTAAAATGGAGTATTATGCATAAAACAGTTATAATCCTTAAATTATAAAATTTCTGAAGTATAAAGTTTTTTGTGCATTAATGCAATCCTACAAATCTAATCTAATCTGAGAGGGAAACCAAGTATAAAAATTAATCTTTAAGAATTCCAAAACAAAATTAAATAGAGTATTTCTAACAAATACATACACTGTTCTTTTGTCTTGTCGAAGTAGTTTAGAAGAAAATTCACTGAGAATATCAAGAAATGCCAAATTTAAAGGTGGATGGCTCTCTCCTTGTGGATTAGGCTCCTTAAAAGCAAATTCTATGCCATCTCTGCAACAAAAGCAACAACAAAAAAAGACAAATATTTAAAGGACTACAATACAAAATTGAATAACTTAGGGAATTTCTCTATACTTCATCCCACTACTAAGATGTTTCCTTTGTCATGCATTTAATCTGAGGAATAGAGAGAATAAGGAGGCTACAGTGCGAGAATGAGCAAATATATTTACATTTTATGCCACTTTTGTTTGTTTTGGTTTTTATTTTTTGGCGGGGGTGGGGGGGGAGCATGCTGCACCACGTAGCTTGCAGGATCTTAGTTCCCCGACCAGGGACTGAACGCTTGCCCCAGCAGTGAAAGCGCCAAGTCCTAACCACTGGACCGCCAGGGAACTCCCAACTGTTACTTTCTTTAAAACAAAACAGACACACACATACACACACCAGCTGGTCTTTATTTAAAATGTGGTTTGGTATATCTACATCCTCTCCTCAGTTCTCTTTTCCATAGAAAATAACCCAAATCCTTTCACGTAATAATCAGTACACTTTCTGTATTTTTCAAGACACAAAGGAGATCAACTATAACACACAGGATCAACTTAAAAATAATGATTCAAGAATATCTGTAATGACCCACTTAAGAGTAAAGTTTAAAAATTAAACTCCACTCAAGGCCCACTTTATATTTATTTAACAATAAATACCTCTATTAATCAAGACAACTACCCAACATTTTATATATATATATATATATATATATATATATATATGAAGTAAATAATATATTACTTCTCAAAATAATTATTACATGTGTGGTCCTTAAATATCACCTAAAATTCTCATCCATAGTATTAAAAGGCATAAAAAGAAATTTGAGACTTTTAGAGCAAAGTGAAAAGGAGAGAGTAAATTAAAGTTGAGGAAGGTATAGGACTAACAAAGAGCAGAACAATTTCTGAAGGGAGACATTTAACACTTCATAATTAAGTAAGCAACAGGAATTTAAAAAAGACACAAAACAGAGAGCTTTCAATGAAACAGAGCCCAAGCCTCTTGATTTTTCCAAAGGCAAGGCTCTTTATCCACAATAAAGACATAAACAGTATTAATAACCACATGTTGGCTATGTTAGAGCTCTAAAATGTACTTAAAAGTATAACTGATCACTAAATTACATGCCTAAAATAAAATCAGATGATTTCCAACTTTGATAAGGCAAAGAAAACATGCAGACAAAATAAAGATTGTGGTTCAAAACAAGAGAAAAGGTCACTGCAAAATAGAGAGCAGAACCAGAAACAAAAAACTTGAAACAAAGAAATCAAATCTCAAAAAATTATCTACCCAGCAAGAGAGATTATGACAAAAACTGTTAAAAGAGATTCTATAATACCTGATGAATATATGTTGCTTTTTTTCACGTAATTTATAAAGATTTTGTATGGTTTTAATTAAAGCAAAGACTTTTCTATAAAAGGTGTTTTAGTCCCAATTCATGTGTTAACAGAGAGAGCACTATAACTGGTTCTTAAGAAAGGAGACATGCCACAGATGTGTAAACAAGTAATAAAGCATCAATTGAACTTGGTTATTCTAAACAAAAGAGCAAGATACAAAAAAACTTCATGATTAACAAACAGAAGAGCTGAATAAAATATTTGGAAATTACTTGTGTAGCATAGCAATGGCCTCTCTCGTTTTCAACTGATCGAGTCCAAAAGTTAAAGCAAAACGTCGAGCAAGTTCTTTTATGCCGCTGAATGTTGAGGATGACCTATCAAAATTATAGCCATTTTCCTGTATCATTTCATTAAAAAGCTGTTTGGAAAGAAAGAAAACATGTTAAAGTTTTTTAATAACTATGGATTATTAACATCTAATTTTAAAATACTACATTTTATATTTAAAATATACTTACGTTCTATAAATAAGGCATTGTACTTCATTCTAAAACATGGATTTTTAAAAACATGATACAAATGACCAAAATTGTAGCACTTCATATATTCAGACTAGAGGTAGTTATTGACATTAGAAACTCCTTAGATTAGTTATGACAGAATTCTTTTCTGCCGGTATTAACTGGATATTAAAATAGCATATAAAAATATAAAGAAAAAGGAAACCAACTAACAACTATGCTCTTATTGACATTTAAATGATGGATCTTCACATCAAGAGCTTTCATCATAAAGTTAGCAAAACAAAATACAATCTTTCAATTATCAAGCTGCCAAGATTTTAAACAGGTAATGGCTACTACTTAAGAATACAGTGCAATGGGCACTGATCTACTGGGAACATAAAACTGAGAAAACCTTTCTACAGAGCAATCTGGCAATGTGTAGTGAAAGCTTTAGAATTTTCATGCCCTTTGAGTAAGCAACTGTTATTATCAGACTTTATCCAAAAGGAATGATAACAGTAATATTTGTATACAATACATAAGTACAAAAATGTTTGTCTTAGTGCTATTTATAATGGCAAGAACTGTAAAAAACCTCAACATCAAACGAGAAGAGATCTTAGTTATATTATAGTCCCTCTATAAAATGGAATACTACACAGTCATTAAAAATGCAGAGGAAAGTATTTAATGGCATGAAAGTGTTCAGGATTTATTAATATGAAAAATTCAGCATTTCAAGACAATGTGCAATATGATTTTTTATTTTTGTAAAATAAGATTTCACATAGGCATAAAAAAGATTAGGAAGTTAAAAATTAAAACACTGTTAAGTGAAAAAAATTAAAGATAAGTTGTATTTTTTCTAGTTTTCCTATAATATTTTCTAAACTTTCTACAGCAAACAGCTATTATTTTACACCAAAAGTTATTTAAATGCTGCCTTTAAAACCTTTTAAATTCTAATAATTTTAATAAAGAATATCAAAATATGCAAATGAAATTAAGAACTTGCATACCTAGATCTCTAAAAAGCAAGAAAGTTTATCAAAGTGAAATGGGTTGGGTTATGTTCTGCATGCATTTGGTCTCTACAGACAAAAGTATACTAAGCAAATGATTTTTGCCTAATTAAACCTGCCTTGACACTGCCAAAATGAAAATGACTGGTACATTTTGATTATACAGTTGATAAATGCTCATTAAAATACATGTGCAAATGTACAAAGAATAAAGTAAAATTCACCTGAAACCTACCAAAGCGAGTTAACCACAGCTAACATTTTGGTGATTATTTTTTCCAAATAGGTACACAAAGATGTGCACAATTTTATATAGATGCTATACTGCAATCTTTTTTTATTCTCAAACTATATATTGTAGAGATCTTTACAAATTAATGAATACAGACCTACACCAATTTTAATTGCTACACAGCCACTGCAGAGATATACTACACAATATATTCATCTAATATCCTATTGACAGCCATTTGGATTATTTTCTAATTTCTTGCTATTATAAATAACTTTGCAATGTATAATCTTCTACATTCATTTTTTGCAAAGTTATGCTATTACCACTGTAGACGAACTTCCAGAAGTAGAACTGCTGCCTCAAATGGCATATACACATTATAAATTTTGACATATATTGCCAAACTACCTGCCAGGAAGGTTGAACCAATATACCTTGCCGACAGAACCTGTTTCTCCCATACCTTAGGCGGCTATAGGTTTTGCCACTCTTGCCAGTCTCAAAGCAAAAAATGATCTCACTCGTACAATGTCTACTAGTGAGATTGAGTATTTTCATTTCCACTTTTATGAACTATCTATTGCATCCTTTGCCCAGTTTTCAACTGTTACCTTGAAAACTATTAAGTGCTTATTTTGTTAGCCTAAACCTGGTACTCTTCATGTCTTACCTGTTGCAAACTGAGAATAAGGGTCTTTGCACACTGAATTTTGTCTATCTGCCTTGTTTTACTCATTGTTTCTTTGATGATATCGCCATAGTCATTATAATACTAGAAAAGAAATTTGTACAAATTAGGCCTCTGTCTCTTAAAACTATTGGACAATAAGACTAATTTTAGGTTAGTCACACAAGCATATCACGAGAATGTTATTTGGCTAGAATTATGCCTTCAAAGACACGAAAGAATGTTACTAAAACTTCATTATAATCTTTAAACACATAATCCCTAACATCAGTAAATTCAGAAATATCAGACAGTTAAGATCTAATCACATTAAGCTCCACAGTTGGTTTTAAGGAGGTATATTGTTTAACAATAATTAAGTTATACAGATTTTCAGAAATAAAACAAAGGACAGAAACAAAGTTCTTGTGCTCTTTGTGAACTATTAAGACAATGAATGTAATCAGTTACTTTCGTAACTTATTCATTGCTAATGGCATGTAGTTCATGAGCAGTTTCCAAACTTATTGATTTGGCTTATGGAAACTAACAGCCTGTTAACAACATTTAAAAGAAAACTTACTGTATGTGGCATTTACATTACACACTGCACAGGAATTTTTTTTTTCTAACTTAAGATCTTGTTTCAAAATGCATACATTAACAACTACCAGAGATAACAGGATAACCATGCTCCTATATGACTAACAAAATTGACTTTAATCTAGAATACCTAAGTCTAAAAGTTTAAAATTTGCAAAATGACTTCAAAAACAACCTTAGTTAAAAAAAAAAAAATCTAACAAGTATCAGGCCAAATAACTTAAGTTCCAAAGTACTTTATTAATGGTTCTATCATATAGGAAAGTATTCTGAAGAGAGAATTAACTAGGTTTTGATAAATGTATTACATATTTTATCCTGTAAAAGCAAAAGCTTAAAGAAAGTTTACATTTATAATTAGATTTTACTTGAAAAAGGATTACAAAAAAATCATCACACCGTATTTAGTCACATTCTGTTAGTACAATCAACAATATCCTTTCTACTACTACTTAAAAGTTAAAGAATCTCACATATATTTATGACAATTTGTGAATCCACTGTGACTCAAATCAGATTTTCAGAGCTTAAGGAACCTTAGCTATCACAGTGGAACAGATGAAGAAACGCAGGACACAAAAGGTACTGAATTACTCAAGGTCACAAGCTGCATAGTAACCAAGCCAAAACTGTATTATCTAGTTCTCTGACTCCTAAACACTTTTTTATGTTACATCAAGCAGGGGAGGGACACCATCCTGTTGTTTTAAACTAAATCACAAAAGCAATTTCTATTAGTGACAGTTAACCTAAGACAAGCTGTCTGCAATATTCCAAACACAAATGAACTCAATAAACCCAAAATGTCCATTAATGGAGGATCGGAGGTATGAGAAAATTTACTGAAAATGTTAAATATTTTAAGAGATTTCTTTTACACTAGAAAAGTAATTTACTATTAAAAAATTCAATGGCAACCAAACATAAAAGCGATGTAAAAATATCTCGCTATCCATTTTTCAACTTTACCTTCATATACTGCTTAAAGATATCTGCAGCTGTATTCATCTCCACCACAGTATATACAATTAGCTTACAAAACGCTGCAAGTAAATTTCTCCTTTTGTGCAGAGCTTCAATTTTACTGGCTTCATCTTCCTGCTGAGCCGTGTGTGTGTGTGTGTGTGTGTGTGTGTGTATCAAATTCAATATAAAACACCTTTATTTTGGAGAATTTGTAAAATAAGGGAACAAACATTTAAATAAAATAAAAATTATAATCACTCAATATCTTCATGAATGACCAGCCCATTTATTCCAATACACAAAATTTTTGTGACATCAAATCAGAAGGCTGTTTAGTGAACATGGAACAGGAACAAGTGGAGTAAGTGAGAGGAACTGATGTTTAGTGAAATCAGGCTAAGCTTGCCTAACACATTAATCTACTTCCCTAGCAGGATAGTTTGCCGATGAGACCTGCATATTCAGTATCTGTTGGGTAAGGCTCTTTCTTCCCTAGGGGCAGACAACCTCAGAAATTCTCCTATCCCTTCTAAAGATGACCCCACCCAACCTCAAACCCAACTTTTATTGACAGATACTTTCTTTATACATATTACAGATATTCAGTTAGACTGGCCTAGAAACCATTCTGTCTTTTTAAGGTAACTTCACATATATCTGCTCTGATCCATTATGTGAGATCTTGATATTCAGTTATCAAAGGGACAAAATTATTTCCAAATTCATAGCTGAGAAAGCCGGATTACAGCCTCCAAGTACTGCCAAAGGATTTTCAAATTATTTGATACTGTGCATAAAACTGTATCGAAGCCTTTTACATAAAAAGTTATGCAAAGAATTTTCTTCTTGACAAATTTTACAAATGAAATTACTTACATAAAAAATACTGTGTATAAAATAAGAACTCTTTTAAAACAAGTATTTATTTTACCCTGTCTCTGATAATCCTTGATAACTGCTAGTAAATAAAAACCAAATTTTAAGAATAGGAATTTGTTTAAGACAGACCATCTGAAAAGTTTCTGTTATCAAAAGTGCCTATTCCAGAATGCCAAAGTCATTTGCTTAGAAACCTAAAACATACTGTTCATTCTTTTAAAAGAGTACACTGAACATACAAGCTAACTTTTTCTTAATGACTCTGTGATTATAATGGATTTCTATACAATATTGTTTCCAATCATTGTTTGGTACTGTTCTCAGGAACTAGAGAGATACAGACTTATTCCCCCTACAGACTAAGTTACCCAGATATTAAGAGTTTTTTGAGCCCTGATTTTTAAGTTTCTTCACTTCTTACTTATCAAAAATTAGCCACCTTTTTCTCTTGTGGGGAATTAAAGAATGTTAGAGAAGTGTCTAACACACTGGGCCTTTAATAGATGTCAGTTGCCATTATTACTATGTGTTGCCAGTGCCTCTAGAAGCATTCCCTATTTTATTCTCCCCTTCTAGTCTGATGTGGGCTAACAAATCAAATAACCATGGGTCTACAATACCAGGGGTTAGATGAGTATGAAAAGCAATGGAAACTATCATATGTTGCTTGTGGGAGGATAAAAGAATAAAACGACTTTGGAGTATAATCTGGCAACTTGTGGTCAAGTTTAAGACGCACATAGACTACATAATCTAGCAATGCCACTCTTAGGTATACAGGCACACCTCGGAGATATTGCAGGTTTGATTAGACCACTGCAAAAAGGGAATACTACAATGAGTCACATGAATTTTTTGGTTTCCCAGTTCATATAAAAGTTATGTTTACACTATACTGTAGTCTTACTAAGTGTGCAATAGCATTATATTTCTAAAAACATGTACATATGTTAATTAAACATTTCATTGCTAAAAAATGCTAATCATCTAAGTTTTCATGAGAGTTGTAGTAGTAACATCAAAGATCACAGATCACCATGACAAATATTATAATAATGGAAAAGTTTGAAACGTTGCAAGAATTACCCAAAAAGACACAGAAACATGAAGAGAACAAATGCTGTTGGAAAAATGGCACCCATAGACATGTGTGATGAAGGGTTGTCACAAACCTTCAATTTATAAAGATACACAGTATCTACGAAGTGCAATAAAAGGAGGTATGCCTGTAAACTAGAAAAGCATTTGCACATGTGCTCAAGGAGATAAGTATAAGAACATTTTTGTAACACTATTTATAATAGGAGAAAAGATGGAAACAACCTAAATGTTCATCAATATGAAAATGGATAAAGTGTGGTTAATTCATATCACATAATATTCAGCAGTCAGGATGAATAAGCTATAACCACATGTCAATACTGACAAATTTCACAAATAATGTTAACTCAAAAAAGCAAGATGAAAAATAAAATGTTCAACATGATACCATTTATGTGGAAGCTAGCAATAGAAAATAAACTATATAGTTAAAAGATACAAAAATTCCTAGTAAAATAAAATTAAAATGCGAAGGCATGATAAACAGCAAATTCAGGATAGCAGTTATCTCTAGGGAAAAAGAATAATGGGATGGGGAGGGATACAACCAAGGGCTTCTTTTGTATCTATCTATTCCTTTAAAAAACAAATATGAAACAAACCCAGCAAAATTTGACAAATGCTGGTGGTTGGTATATACAAGTATGTTACATTTTATTCTTTTCCATAGAATCGGAATACATTTCATTTTTAAAGTGGAAATGGAAAAACACGAAGTCCAAGGAGGTAAGACAAAGTGTAATTCCAGGAAGCTCCCAGAAAATTTAGGAGTATTGGCAAGCTTATTCTCATTCCTATTTCCTATGATCTAAATGAAGTTGAGGTAGTCCCCAACTAACAAAAGGATTATAGACCAAAACCAATTTTGTATCAGTGTTGGGAATATAACTGTTTTCCTACAGAAGTTTTAAAAACTCCTACTCATCTTTTAGGATCCATTTCTGATGTTAGCTTATTTCAATGGTGTTTTGACTTCTACAGAACAGTTAGAACTTCCTCTACATGCCCACAACACTTTGTACCTACCTCTATTACTTATCAAATTACATTATAATTACTTGTTTTTAGATATGTCTTTTCCACTTGAATTGAATTCTTAAAGGAAAAGACCATGTCTCATTTTTTTGATATTCATAGCATCTAGTATACTGCCTGCTGACCAATAAATATCAAATGAATGTTAAAAATAAAGTGTAACTAAACCAACAGCTGAAAGTGAATGGTGGAAAATTCTAAGTATATAAACTTTAGTACATGGATTTTGATGTCTGTTTTGGCTACTTAGGTTTCTCAGTTCTGTTCTGGTTAAGTTTTTAATACTTGAGAACAAAGCTCTCTATTGATAAAAAATAAGCTACAAGCCATGTCTAGAATTATATATAGTTAAAAGCTTTGCAGTGATGTGTCAGTTTATGTATGGACATATACCTACTGATGTTATATAGCCTTCAAGTTTAACTCCAAATTGGGGGGAAAAAAAAAAACCCCAGAAGTCACCAAATACTATCTGTTTTTCCACGATTTCTTGTTCAAGTAAGGCATCTGTGTATGCAATTAGGGTGCGAAGAGTAACTTAACACTAGGCAACGTTGGTTTGATTATTTACCTGTAACATTCTGTACTGCCCCAGACTTTTACAGAAAAATTATGCTATGAAAGTATACAACAAAAAGGTCATTTAAAGAAACACTTTATTCTGCTCTAATTACTTGAATATTGGTATTACCAATGATTAAGGGGAAAGAGAAGTAAATTTTGTTGAGTACCCACCTACTACACGCCCAAGCACTATACTAGTCACTTTGCTCAATTTAATTAACTTGTACAGTTCTGTAAGGTAGCTACGAATTAGAAAAACAAGCTCACAACTAGTGAGAAACAAAGATTTGATTCCAAAGCCTATGCTCTATGATACCACATTGTCTTTACAATGTTACAAGCAAATTACACTGGAAAATGTACCTGTGTTTCACGTTTTAAGAATAAAATATCAAACAGTAGTGTAACACTTTACATTGCTGCTAATTAAATTTGATTTATAGTAGATACACAGATTTAACAAAAAGATGGCAATAAAATTACCTGCACTATTATTGTCATCATCCTGTTCAATGAAGACATGATCCAGAATAAAGCTGAGCAACTCAGACTGCAATGAAGAATCAGGGGTGTAAACTAATGGCTCTAACATGTCACGCCCTCCTGACATAATCTGATGGCTGAAGATCATCAAAATATCACATAGAATAGTGAAGGCCTAGTATAAAAATAAAAAAAAAAATAAAAAAAAAGGATAGCATGCCATAAACCAAAGTTTCTCACGAACTGCCACAAGTAACTTACATATTTAATGTGGAAATAAAATCCAACTTTCTACATTTGAAACTCAGAAGAAAAAGCAATGTCTAGTATTTTCCTAAGATTTTAAAAGTGAAGAGTGTAATTTTTTCAACAATAACTACTGATATTTGCATTGTGATTTACTAACTGCAAGATAATTTCACAAATATTCTTTTTAATTTTCAGCAATTTTCTTTTAATTTTTTAAGTGATTTGTACAATATGTTAACATCATCAAAACATGCAATCAGGACTCAATCTCAGGTTTTCTGACTCCAAACCCCACCCTTTACACTATATATACCACAATGTCTCATGGTATACATTCTCAAATATCAAATAATGTATAAACTTGGTACCATTCTTTTCTTCTATGGAAGAAAAACACTTATACCAAGAAGATGAATATCTCCTAGAAGATCTCTTAGAAGAGAGATCACAAAATCTATAGGACTTCTTAAGTACTCTCATTGTCAGTATATGTGATGATTAAGTAAAAAAAACATAACCAAGTGTGGGTCTGCTTACTAATCATCAGGCAAACCTGACAGTATAATAAACATAAGGTTGAAGTGGGACTTCCCTGGTGGTCCAGTGGCTAAGACTCCACGCTCCCAATGCAGGGGGTCTGGGTTCGATCCCTGGTCAGGGAACTAGATCCCGCATGTCGCAACTAAGAGTTCGTATGCCACAACTAAAGATCCCACATGCCACAACTAAGACCTGGCACAGCTAAATAAATAAACAAACAAACAAATAAATAAAGCAATAAAGCTGAAGTTATATATATATCTTTCTTTTTTTTTGGATGAAGTTATATCTTGAGGAGCTTTATAAAAACTCTGCCAGGAGTTTTAAATAGAGTCAAACACTGGTAAAAGTAGTCAGAAGGTAACTGGAAAAAATTTAGTTATTTGTTGGGAAGGGATAAGGAAAATAAAATTTTGTGATCACAAAGTCAACAGAAAATTACATTTAATGGAAGACTACTACTAGAAGGACAGATTATAATATAGACCTCAAAGCAGATTTTAATAATAGCTTTGCCTTTTTGGAACTAACCACATTTATTTTTTTCTCTATACTTTTATCTCTTCTTTTGGTCTCTTCCTCTCATTTTACTACTATAGTAATAATTTATACCTATCAAGATATTTGAGTTTACAAAAGCTTTTGCAACATACACAGTAAGGATACACAGGGATAAGCGTGGTGACATTTACTAATTAGGTGAACTGACAGGTCTTGTGAGCTAACCAGGACATATTCCTGGAAGCTGTTAGGAAGACTAGTACATAGGCTATTTAATGACCAAATAATTAATCTCCAAGGCCTGAACAACAGATTATATATAAAGGAGATTACACACAATAACCCACAAAGAATTATGTGCTAACACTGTAAGAAATATGGAATATTAAGCTGAGTATCTTGGTGGCCTACGAAAATATATCAAGTAATACTTCATGTATTAAGTTTGGATCAGTGTATACTTCATTGAAATCCTATTCTAAGACATTAACTATAAACTCATTTTACTACCTTCTGAAATTTTGTCCCTCTTATCTGAATTGTAGAGAAGAAAATGTCCCAAGTCCTTTATTGTTACAGTTCAAAATAAATAGGCTCTTGGTCCCAGGATCAGAAGTTATTTTACAGATGGGAAAACTACCCATGGCACCAAGTAACAATGTATTTCCAGATTGAGAAGCTTGGCAGCAATGGAATCAAGAGGGCATATGGGGTGGAAAGGTAACACTCTGAAGACGGAAGTGATTAAAATTTTTATTTCAAAGTCCACATAAGAAAAAATAACTCACACAATCAGGATGGACAGGAACGCCAACATCTGATAATACTCTGAGATAACAAAACCAGATGGACCTTTCCTCCCTGAGGCATACCTGTTATACCTGTTGCTTTCAGGAATAATTTATGTAACTGCATACACCTACTTTGTATATATGAGTCTGTTTACCATGTGTGGCATAAAGAAACAATAACACAGAATAACTGCAATATGCGGGTAATCTATAATGCTCCACATGGAATTAATGTTAATCTATTTTTTGAGCATAGTATATATACAGACAGATACAAGATATTTCTACTTTGCCCAATTTCAGTATTTCTTAAATTTTCTATATTAGTTCAGATATTTATTCAGGGTTGCTTACAAAAGACTGCTATCTATAGTAATTACTAACCTGTTCTTTAACGGTGGTATTCACGTTGGTCAGGTAATGCTGACATATCTGACAGAATACCCTCATCTGTTTCTTTAAACGCAGCAAGTCCTCCTTGAAAAAATTTAACATGAGCATTTTAAAATGCTGTATTAAAAACTCATTTAAGATATTTTAAATTACATAAAACATCACCATATATTTAACTATGTTAACTCTGCTTGTATATTAGATTTAAAATCTTTATTATTTATCAAAAAGGAAAACAAAAACCACTTTTAAAATCTCAACAAATTGCAGGCTTAAAAACACCAGGTGTATTCATGATAATTAGCTGACATTTAAAAATATTGTTTATATCATCTTTAACTCAGCCTTTTTCAATTTCCATTTCTCTGTTCATTCTGTAATACACTTAATTTACTATGTACTTAATATTGTAGGCCTAGTACTTAAAATCCTCAGACTATTAGTACATGCATATCATCAATGAATATATAAATACTGGTGGTGCAGTAAATATATGTTTTCACAAAGCTGAGTGTTAGAATATTCACTCAAAGCCAAATATCATCATATAGAAAAAGCATCTGTATATAAGAATTAAATTTTATCAAAAAAAATAACCAGGTATATTAATGGATAATATCCTACGTGATCTGGGTCCTTTAGAATGAGAAAACGTATATGACTATATATAGCTATCCATATAAATCCACTACCTCAGAATGCTTAACAAGTAAAGATTTATGTTCCATCCTCACTTTGTAATTTGATGGGTGGCTGACTGATGAATGGAATAAAATAAATGATAAAAAAGGGACAGCATGTTTCATTTGTAGGATAGTAGTTGTGCTTTTTAAAAACAGAGAGGGACCAAAGAAAAATTAGTTTTGTGGTATTACTCCACTTAAGAAAAAAAAATTTTAACCTACACTAAAAGGATGAATCTTTTCTTTTTCTAAATTTTTTTTAGAAATTTTTTTCTTTTTCTAAATATTTACATCAGTTAATTTAAAATAGAAAACTACTTTATAAAGATCAGCCACAGTAATTTATTTAAGGCATAACCTCTGGCCCGTCTCCTGATACTGGATGCCAAACGATAGAGTATCAGTACATATTTGGTATATGTAACAGACAAGTTAAATAAAAACAGGTTTAACTTAGAGATTGATTTGGTGAATAAAACTCAACCAAGCTTCAGTAGAAATAATTTTTGCATTTAATAACCTTCATTTTTACCCTCTTTCCTCTACTAAAAGTATTACCTTTTTTCCCATGTTAATTTGTAACTCAATGCTTTTGATTTAGGTGAGCAATCATATTTGCTAATACAGTCACTGTCCCTACTGCAAGCTTGACACTGAATTAAACTTTTTGGGTGTCTGACAAAAAGTACACTATTTTAACAACAGTACTACATTGTCTTTTCAAGGGGGAAAATATCCATTTGTAGATATAATTGCATCTTGTGCTTAAAAACCTCAAAAAAATTCTAAAATTATTCTGTGATTTTATGCAAAACAAACTGATTATCAAGAGGATTCCTTTTTGAGGAAAATAACTATGAACAGCTAATTCTATAGCTTACAGAAATTACTTAATATTTATAAAAATGTGCCCAAGTAATATTTAAGGTAACATCTACTACTACAAGTACGAAGTTTAAGTTTCTAATTTACAAATGAAAAAGGCAGTACTGTTTAGTTCAATTACTAAACACATCAAGTTACCACTACAGATAAAAATTTGAAAGTTCTATGACCTAGTAGCTGGCACATTACACTCAACCAGAAAGTGATTTATCATGAATTTGGAACATCAGTACAGAGATCCTGAGTATGAATAAGGAGATCCCAAAACAATACAAGGCATAAGATCTAGGGACAGGTGGTTTGTAATAATTAGTTTATATAACCCAATAGCTGTATCTGTATGTTTCAAAGGCTCTTGGTCATGATTTACAAAATCTGTAGTTCTTTATGTACCCAGCACTTTTGAGAATGATATGGAAATCCATAAATTATGCCACATATAAATGTGATTTTTAAAATTTAGAATCATACCCTAAACAAAACATATTAATGTTCTTTCACTGAATATACATCAAACTACAAATAACTGTTTTTAAAAGTAAACATGCCTAAATAGTAGATTAGAAATAAGCAAGATTTTATTGATATGTCTTATGTTTAAGTTTGCTGAAAAGTTAATGCTATTTAATAAAAAAGACGCCACTGAACCACCACAAACCTTTGTAGAGCTGCTTTCAGTTATCTTTGCAAGCTGCCAAAGGATTACATAGTGAGTGCATTGCAGTGCGTGAATAACAATCTATAAAAGAACAAAGAGAATACAGTTAAATTTTACAAGTCACAAGTCTTCTTTCTCAAAGTTAAATATGTAACTTGTAAATAAATAAAAACCTGTTCAGGCATGTCTCCATTTTCAATTCCGGTTTTCAATAGTTTGTAATTACAAGCAAACAAATCCCACTTTGAAAGATCATGGGCACTGTAAAAAAGAATTAAGTTATATTAAAAAGTTAAGCTTAATCACATTTGTTCTGGACTTGAGTGTTAACAGAATACTATTAAAGTAAAATGTAGTAAACTTTCTAACATGCGCCCACAAGAACAAAAAAAATATGTGTATTTTTAAAAAGTATATTAGTTGATAATTTGTTGTTCCCCAATTCACAACATGACTCTATCAAGTACTTTTTTCCCAAAAGCACAAGAAATCCAGCAAAAAGTTTGCCACTATAATCCCAAAACATGCAATTTGGTTCTGATTTTGCTACAGTTTTAAGAAATCAGAAACTTTAAGATTCAACTTACTTATGAAAAGCAGTGATTCTCTTCAATGTTGACAATACCTGATATGCATCATCTTCATCAGGTTCTTCGCCCTATGAATGTTAATTATATCATATTAAACATTAATAACCACAAAAGTGAAAAATCTTAGGCTATCACATTGGTGATTTCCACACCTTGAAAATAAAGAATAACCTAATTAAAAACCACAAAATAACTTTGTCATTCAATACTTAGACCTGGCCAAATTTAAAGCAATGTGGCCAGAATAACGGGTCAACATAGAGTTGTTATAACAGATACATTATACCCAAGAGAGAAAAACTGAATGACATTCTCCTTTTTTCCTTTAAGTGATCTTGACACAAAACAATGAAGACATCTACTCTTTCACAGTAACAAATGCATTGGGACAATAAAGAGAAATATATTAGAGGACAAGCAAGAGATCATAAAAGATAATACCTAAAGGACAAAATCTACTAAGTAAATGAAACATAGCACTCAAGAAAGATATATCAGACCAATTAAAATTAATTTGGAAAAAATCCTCTGCATAAGGACTAGATATACTAATCCTTTTTCTGGGTATCAACTTTCCAATTTAGAGTAACTTAAGTTTTTGACAATTTTATGAGTCTCACTATAAGAAACTTACAAATTTTTAAAAATACTATCGAACTTACTGTATTAAACCCCAGGTCTCTCAAAAAAATGCTTGTTTTTCACCATCAATTTTTATACAAGGTAAGTAATTAAACTTAATTAACAAACCATAGTTTGATTTTAAATTAACTTGTCCTAATCAGAATCATATCCAGCCAATAGTAGAGCCATTAAAATTTTTAAGAATGTGATCATTTGTACATCAACGTATTTGCACAAACCTCCAATTAAGCAAAACATAGTAAGCATGAAATGTTATACACAGAAATAAGAAAGTTAAAGAAGTAACTGCTAAACAAAATAACTGGAAATTACAGAAGTCCATATCATTTTTTGCAGCATTAATGACAAAAGTGATGTGGAAAAGGCTAAACGCATTAATTTGACAATCACAACTTTTTACTTGATGCAAATCAATTAAACTGTTAAGTGTACCTTTCCAGAAAAGATAAAAATCACAATAAAAATACAAGTGCATTTGAGTACCACACTTAAGCCTCTTTGGAAATACAACAGAACAACAAAACAACAAAATTGACAGTGGCTATAATTTATCAAGGCTTTATAATATCAAAGACCATAAATAAACTTCCAAAATGTTAAGAAATACCCCAATTTTTGAGGTTATGTGGCCACAGTCTAGCTCAACTTTTCTGTTCTGTTAACACCCTGTTCCCTAACAGCCTCTTGTTCAACTAAACCCTGGAAACTTCCCAGATCATTTCTTTAAGTTAAAAAAAGGGGAAAGATGTTAGCTTTGCTTTCACCCTCTCTTAGTCGCAGATTCTTGCCACCTTCCTATTCTGGTGGATGAATAATAGTATCACAATGAATCATAGAACAAAAAGTCTGAATGACTTTTCAACATACTGCTAGGGATTATCACCAAGACTGGTGACTAATTTGGTTCTGGGGGGTGGGGTGGGGGGGTGCGCAGTGGCGCACAGCTGACAAAATACTTGTAATATATACCTCTTGCAGAAAATCTTCAAGAAGCCGGTTAAATTTATCGGCCAACTCGTCTATCAGTTGACTTCTTGAGATATCTACTCTGTTGAAAATTGTGAACTCTTCATTACAGAGTGCGTGATAAGTTTTAGAACATGCTTCCAAAACATCTGTATCTGTGTGCTTCTCTACAATATTCCGGATCTGTCGTAATAAGGCATCCAAATGCTGCAAAATCAAAGTTTTCTTCATTAAAACTAAGGTATATATGATAGGCATAAAATGACTACACAACTGGGATGAAAAGCTTCAAACACAGTAACTTTACAACCAGTAGGGCATACTTTAAGTTCTTCTAGTCATAATAAATAAATGCACTGACCCACCCAAACTTATTTCCCCAACTTCAACAGGAATAATATTACCTATCTCATAGGGCCTTGGTGAGATGTTAATACATATAAATACATATGTTCCTGGAACACAGTAAATGTATTTAATGGATATTAGCTGCTTTCATTTTGCAATTGTTATTATCTAGTTACCCACCGCTAATCTCCATAAATGATCAGTGATATAGTCACATAATGGTTAGCAATGATGGTACGGATATGGGCATGAATCAAAGGGAAACCTCATTAGTGCCATTCTCTAATAAATCCACCTTATCTAAAATATATATGGCATACAAGATACAGGTTTCCTTTTACATTAAAAGTTACAAAAACATATTTCAAAAAATATAAATAAATGATGGGATGAACTAAGTTAACAATTTTTCTTCAAGGTTTTTTATACACAGAAACACCATACCTTTTCTAATCGTCCAGTGGTATATATTTCCAAATCAAAGTATTGTGGCAACTGCAACAAGTTAGTCACCTTTTCAGCATCTACAGAGTACTTTGAAATAAAAAAAAAAGAAAATCATGTCAAAAACATCACAATAATGGTAAGTAAATATTATGATAAGTACAAAATTCTGTGTGGCACTTCCAAACAAAACTTGTAATTTCTTAGTAACACTCCTGATACTGACACAAACTTACTTTAGCTAATAACTGAGGAAGGGCCACAGCAAAGAGTTCAGTGATTTTTGTCCTGTCATCCAACTGGGTCTTCTTCTCCTTTGCTGTTAGCACCTAAGGTAACACAACAAAGTTTCTAAGTGTTTATTAATAAGCCCACTGACACTGTTAGGTGCTCGACTTTAAGTTAAGATATCCAAAATAAGTAATAAAATGACATTTTAAATGATGGATACAAGAATTTCTACTATAAAACTTGAAACCCAAAAGTAACAAAGAGAATAGCTTGCACATTATATTTTTTAAAAATAGCAACACTTTGAATAGATCTAGAGGCAAAATCAATACCCAATTAGATTAACTAACTCTACCTTTGGATGAAAGGAGAAGCAGTTAGGAAATGTAGTTTAGGAGTTTATATAATAATAGGACTGAGTAGGATTTCAGTCTACTATAAGTTGTGCCATGATCCATGAGTTATGAAATCAACATAAGTAATGACCAGCAATTAGAAAAACAAGAAAAAAAAACACGAAAAGAAAATAAAGTAAAATAGAATGCATCACATAAGTTGTAGTACTGTTTGATGAAATTCTGTTTCAGTTATACACAAACACATATATATAGATGTGTACTAGGTCACAATATAAAAATGTATTTTTGTGCTTCACAAAGTTTGAAAGCCTGTGCAACTCTGGTCTACAATACAAATATATGTGAACTTTGAAATAATGCATTAAAATCAAATCCCAGGAAATAGGAATTTCCCCCATATTAATGAATGATTATCCTGTCTTTATTTCTAACTTTTATTAAAAGAAAAAGAAAGCAAATCTATAAATAAACCAAAACAGACAAATACACCATTCTAAAATGTTGCACAACATGCGGTCTTAAAGGCAGGGACTGTCAATCACTGTATCTCCTGTAGTTACTGTCAACCACTGCATCTCCTGTATTTAACTCACAAAGTATCTTATGGAAGGAACGTGAATTTCGCAAATTGCTAATGCTTTAAAATTTACTTCTAACACATATTTATGAGCAAAGATCGCCTGAAAAATAAAATTTAAGATTCAAAAATTTGATTATATGGTTACAAATAAGAACTTTAAAAAAGATATTGAAAAAGAGACATATAATTTAGAATACTGAAAATATGTTGGCATACCCTTTTTCCTGTCCCTCTCCCCACAGGAGGATGACATTCAGCAGCTTGTCTAATGGTACAAAGCATTATTTCAATCAGAGCACTCTCTTGTCTGTCCGTTAGCGCTGAAAGAAAAAAAATCAGAAAGTTAACCTATTTCTTTTCTTTATATGCCATTTATAATATTACATAACAGTTCCTTCTGCCTGTGACAGAATCTGACCTAATGTACTAAAGAAAATCCCATTACTATATCACAAAAAGGATCAGAACAAGTTAAACCTTCCTAAGCATTACAAATCTGTAAAACACTGCTCCACAATTTGAGAAATGAAAATATGAACAGATACAAAAAAATAAAATATAACAAAACAAAATAAGGAATATTGACAGCAATTACATCCTTCTACATAGCACAATATTCATGTGTATGAAAACAAAATTATTCAAAGACTTTGAATCATTATTTTAATGCTAAAAGATAAAGAAATGGAATAAGTAAACTCTATTTTCGAAATTATCTAGACAACAAAAATACCATAATTAAACATCCTTACCTTCCTCTCCACTAAGTGGCTCCTCCAGCAACAAGCTATTCATACATTCCCAGTCTTTCAGCAGCTCAGTAGCACAGTCCCACATGCTATCCACAAGGTACGCTGCGTGCTCATGTAACTAAAATTTAAAAAGAGCAATGTGCTCTTAGACAAATATCATACTAGCCTTAATCAAAAGAATGGAAGCTTTGTTGGCACCATGTGCAAACTCAAACAACAATTTGTTTTTTGAGGTCAAATGGAAGAAAGGACAGAGAAGAACTGCCTTAGCTTGCTATGTATAAGTAAACCCTGCTAGGTAGTAACATTTCTCACAATAATCATTAAATCATTCACATGAAAATTATTTTTGAAGAGACTATATGCATGCATATTTAGTACCTGACTCAATACAGCCATCCTTCTGTATCTAAGCAGGATTGGTTCCAGGACCCCCTGTCAGATTTTCCGAGGATGCTCAAGTTCCTTATATAAAATGGTGTAGTATCTGCACATAACCTATGCTCATCCTTCCATATACTTTAAATCATCTCTAGATTACTTATAATACCTAATACAATGTAAATACTATGTAAATAGTTGCCAGTATATGGCAAATTCAAGTTTTGCTTCTTGGAACTTTCCGGAATTTTTCAAAAAATATTTTCAATCCACTATTGGTTGAATCCCCTGTTGGCTGAATCCACAGATGCAGAACCCACAGATACGGGGGGCCAACTGTATTACACGGGTGTTGAACTACTCTCAGTTATAAAATATACTACAAATTTATTGTAACAATGGGAGTTGTAACGATTACTTAAAATACAAAATACATGATTACTTATCAATTCAATATATAAATAAATCATTTCTCTTCATTCTGTGAAGCTTAAAAAGGCCCTACAGCTTCCCAACTCATTTTAGGAGACAAGCATTACCATGATACCGAAACCCACCAAAGATATTACAATTAAATATATATATATATATATATATATATATACCAACACCCTGCATGAACATGGAGGAAATGTTCTCAAAAAATTTGCAAACTAAAACCAGCAATATATAAAAAGGATAACAGATCACGACCAAGTAGGGGTTTATCCTAGGAATGCAAGGTTGATTCAACATTCAAAACAACAATCAACATAATTCATCACATTAATGTAATGAAAGATAAAATAATCATCTCAAGGGATGAAGAAAAAAGCACTGGACAGAATTCAACATCCATTCATGATAAAATGTCTCAGCACCCACACACCTATGGATAATTAATCTTTGATAAAGGAGACAAGAATATACAATGGGGAAGAGGCAGCCTCTTCAGCAAGTGGTGATGGGAAAGCTGGACAGCCACATGTAAATCAATGAAGTTAGAACACACCCTCACACCATACACAAAAATAAACTCAAAATGGCTTAAAGACTTAAATATAAGACAAGACACCATAAAACTCCTAGAAGAGAAAGACAGGCAAAACATTCTGACATAAATCGCACCAATGTTTTCTTAGGTCAGTCTCCTAAGGCAACAGGAATAAAAGTAAAAATAAACAATGGAACCTAATCAAACTTATAAGCTTTTGCAAGCAAAGGAACCCATAAACAAAACAAAAAGACATCCTACAGACTGGGAGAAAATATTTGCAAATGATGTGACTGAAAAGGGCTTAATTTCCAAAATATACAAACAGTTCATACAACTCAATATCAAACAAACAACCCAATCAAAAAATGGGTGGAAGACCTAAATAGACATTTCTCCAAAGACGACATACAGATGGCCAATAGGCACATGAAAAGATGCTCATTGGGCTTCCCTGGTGGTGCAGTGGTTGAGAGTCCGCCTGCCGATGCAGGGGACACGGGTTCGTGCCCCAGTCCGGGAAGATCCCACATGCCACAGAGTGGCTGGGCCCGTGAGCCATGGCCGCTGAGCCTGCGCGTCCGGAGCCTGTGCTCCGCAACGGGAGAGGCCACAGCCATGAGAGGCCCGCGTACGGCAAAAAAAAAAAAAAAGAAAAAAAGATGCTTATCATCGCTAATTATTAGAGAAATGCAAATCAAAACTACAATGAGGTATCCCCTCGCATCAGTAACAATGGCCATCATTAAAAAGTCTACAAATAATAAATGCTGGAGAGGGTGGGGAGAAAAGGGATCCCACTTAACACTGCTGGTGGGAATGTAAACTGGTGCAGCCACTACGGAAAACAGTATGGAGGTTCCTCAAAAGACTAAAAATAGAGCTGCCATATGATCCAGCAATTCCACTCCTGGGCATATACCCAGACAAAACTGTAATTTGAAAAGATACATGCACCCCTATGTTCATAGCAGCACTATTTACAATAGCAAAGACATGGAAACAACCTAAATGTCTGTTGACAGATGAATGGATAAAGAAGATGTGGTATTGACAGATGAATGGATAAAGAAGATGTGGCACATATATACAATGGAATATTACTCAGACATAAAAAGAAACGAAATTGAGTTATTTGTAGTGAGGTGGATGGACCTAGAGTCTGTCATACAGAGTGAAGTAAGTCAGAAAGAGAAAAACAAATACCGTATGCTAACACATATATACAGAATCTAAAAGAAACAAAACAAAACAAAACAAAAAAAGATCATGAAGAACCTAGGGTCAGGACGGGAATAAAGACACAGACCTACTAGAGAATGGACTTGAGGACACGGGGAGGGGTAAGGGTAAGCTGGGACAAAGTGAGAGAGTGGCATGGACATATATACACTACCAAATGTAAAACCGATAGCTAGTGGGAAGCAGCCGCATAGCACAGGGAATCAGCTCGGTGCTTTGTGACCACGTAGAGGGGGTGTGATAGGGAGGGTGGGAGGGAGACGCAAGAGGGAGGAGACATGGGGATATATGTATACATATAGCTGATTCACTTTGTTATAAAGCAGAAACTAACACACTATTGTAAAGCAATTATACTCCAATAAAGATGTTAAGAAAAAAAAAAAATTGAAGGACTCAAAGCAGGTATGGTCAGGAAACTAAGATCCTGCATGCCCTGTGGGGCAGCCCCCCCCCACCAAAAATAGGAAAGAAAGGTGTGTGTGTGTGTACACACATATACACACAATGGAATATTACTCAGCCACAAAAAAGAATGGAATAATGCCATTTGCAGCAACATGGATGGACCTAGAGATTATCATACTAAGCAAAGTCAGTCAGAAAGAGAAAGACAAATACCATATGATATCACTTATATGTGGAATCTAAAATATGACACAAATGAACATATCTATGAAACAAAAACAGACTTACAGATATAGAAAACAGGCTTGTGGTTACCAAGGGGGTGGGGAGGTGGGGGAGGGAAGGACTGGGAGTCTGGGATATTAGCAGATGCAAACTATTATGTATAAAATGGATAAACAACAAGGTCCTAGTACAGCAAGGGAACTATATTCAGTATCCTGTGATAAATCATAAAAAAATATGAAAAAGAATATACATATGTATAACTGAGTCACTTTGCTGCAGAGCAGAAATTAAACACAACACTGTAAATCAACTATATTTCAATAAAATTAAAAAAACTTCTCAGCAAAAAAAGGTATAGGAGGAAACATCCTCAATATAATAAATAGCTACACAACACCTATAACTAACAACGTAATTGATGTTGAAATATTGGATGCTTTTCCCCTAAGATCAGGAACAATCCAAAGTTATCCACTCTCACCACTTCTATTCAACATGCTACTGGATGCCCTAGCCAGTACAATAAGGCTGGGGAAAAAATGGCATAAATGTAGGAAAGGAAGAAGTAAAATCATCATTATTTGCAAATGACTTGATTGTATATTATAGAAAATACTAAGAATTTTATTTTAAAATTACTTTAAAAAGTGAATTAGCAAAACTGCAGATAAAAGGTCAATATGCAAAAACCAACTGTATTTCTATATATAGAAACAATTAGAAAATCTAATTAAAAGGCCCTAACACTGATTAAATAATACACATATACTAAAAATGTATGTTGGGCCCTCTCAAATTCTGGTGAACAGGTAGGTTTTCAACTTAAGGGAGACCTAAAAGAGCTGATGTTAAATGTAAATCTGTATCTGCAACAACAATAATCATCACAGGTACCAAATATTGAGAACTAACAAAATGCTAGGTCTGTGCTAATAGTTTTACATGGATTATCTCAGCGTTATCTAAGAAATTATTATCCACATTTTTACAAGGAAAATGGGCTTAGAAAGATTAAGTAACTGAATCAAGGTTATACAAATAATAAGTAGGGAAGCCCAATCGGTAATCAGGTCTTTCTGGTTCCAAAATTCATGCTCTTAGCACTACATATTAATATACTATTTGAGTATCTTACTAACACAGAAAAAAATTTTTTGGTGTGGAATTGGTAGAACTCTATTTTATCCAACACTCACTGTGACATTTGGAAGATTTTAAGATTTACATCATTTGAACCCCACCTCCAAATTGTTTTGAACGTAAGTATAACACGAACATCAACTAACCTCACTTTCCAGAAAGAAAAAAACCAATGTCTTAACAAGGTTGGCATTTGGACCTTGTCGTCCCCTTCTTTTCATCATTCCATCCTCCTCTGGATCTCGACGACTGAAGAGCCTATGATAAATGCAAAATACTTACTTTGAAAACAAAAATTTCCTCATTAAAAAAAAACTGTCTGAGTGCCATATTTAAGCATTTAACAAAGGAGTACATGGGAGCTGGGTAGGTACAGTATTTTCCAACTTTATACTAAGTAATTGCTATAAACCTTTTTCATTTCACACTTGGTGGTACTTCTAAACCCTTTTAAAGTAACTTCTCAAGTTAGTTGCATTGTGAATTATTTCTTTTTAAAACCCTTACTGCATTTTAAGCAAGCATTTCTTTTTATAAAAGTATCACAATGACTAACCTATACCATTTATGCACATAAATCTATGATAAACATTCTTCTCTTTAAAAATGACATGTCTTTTCCTTCTTGCACAATTTATCCCAAAGTCTGAACTTAGTGGCCTCTTTCTATGGGTATCATGATCATTCTTCCTTATAAACAACAAAAGTTATCACTGGATAACAATGAATAGAAAACTGTAGTAAATGTTTTACATCATGTACTCTTTCTAATAAATGCTTCACCCCAAATGAGCATTTTAATAAAATCTTTAAGATTTTACAATCTTAAAATCTTACAGTTTAGTCCAAGTGGTTCAAATTGTTCTCTTTAAAAGCCATTACATAACATTTGCTAAATATTTTCGGTGATTAGATATTCACACTGCTATCTATACTACCTAATCTGAGGTGTTAAACAGCAACATAAAAGTAAAGAGACTAAAGGATTCTTGTGGTTCTTATATCAAACTGTTATCAAAGTACTTGAAGTAAAACCTTTTATTATTTTGAAAAATATTTTTTTGTAATGCAAAAATAGGCTTAAGACCGGTACTGAATAATTTTTAATAAGTTATATTTATATATATTTTAATATGAATTATAACACAATAAATTACTTCCATTAAAGTATACTTTAGACAAATGAACAACAGAAATACAGATTTACTTTTTGTAGAGAAATTCTCCAGCTGCTACTGCTACTGGCCGATGAGCTGAATAAACCAGATGATAAACATTTTCACAATCTTCTGCAGTAAGAACTTCTTCACTACTCCTAAGAAGAAATAAGCGATAGCAGTTTTCAAAGTAATGTTGTAATTTTAAGCATACTGATTACAAAAATTCATATTCACACATTAAAAAATAGTACACTTTCACTTTTAAACTTGTGTTTAAAAAAAAAAACCTTCATTAAGAACTTCTGTTGAAAGAAGAAATCAACCTTATTTGATTATCGTCTATCAGTAAAAGCATCCCCTGACAAAACAGCTGAGTACTTTGTTAACACCTAAGATCAATGGGAGGTAAAATTAGAGTGAATACCGAGTATAATGAAACATATACTAAGAGAAATAACAATGTGACAAATATGCTAAAGGGAAACGAAGACAAAATAATATAAACTAACGTAGGAAAAAAAGTGGTGGTATGCTAAGAGCTTAGAGTTAATAATCACCGAGAACATTTTGCATGTATTTCATAGTAATATTAAGGCAAGAGACAGGGTAAACCTTGTTGGGTGCTTCCATAGTGGGACTCTGCATTCGAAGTCCTGACCTCTGGCACCTCTTTCCC